GAGGGCAGATCTGCGCACCCTCCCCCCCATAGCTAGCAATCCAAAACAATCCAGTGGCACATTTAAGACCAAGTTTTATTCAGGTACAAGCTCTCCCTCCTCTGCGACGGCAGATCTGCACGTTCCAACCCCCCAATAGCTAGCAATCTAAAACAGTCCAGTGGAGCCCGAGCGGTGGGTATTGCCTTCTGACACACTTCCAGTGATGCCAGGGGGTGTGGCATATGCAAATAAGTTATGCTAATGAGCTCCTGCACCTCTTTTTCTACGAAATGACCCCTGCTACTGCATAAATTAGTTTGCTCTGGAGCCCATCCTTCCTGAGCTGAGATGAAAATGTGTGAGCCGGAGGCTAAAAAACTGTGAGCTGGCTCCCACTCATGCAACTTAGAGGGAACACTGGAGACCAGTGTTCTGCCAGCACTCTGATGGGACTAGGAAAAAAGCATCAGGATGTTATTTATCTCTTAAGAATATTTTTATCCCACTCTTCCTCCATGGAACTCAGGGTGGCATCAATTTGTTTTTAACTCCCTCCATTTTATCCTTACAGACATCTAGAAAACAGGTTAGGCTGAGAGGCAATGACTGACCCAGGTTCACCCAGCAAGCTCCACAACAGGAGTGAGGATGTGAACCCGTATCCTCAACCCCCAGCCAGCATTCCAGTGACTACCTGATAGCTGGCTCTGTCGACGGGAAAACAGCGCTGTTCCCAGAAGGGCCTTCTTTCACACCCGTTTCGCGTACTGACTCCCTCTCTAGACTTCGCCAACCTGGCCAAATCAATCCACGGTGCTTTTTTAAACTCTGAAGAAGCTGGACTACTGCAATATGCGGTATGCGGAGCTGCCTTTAAAGACAACCCCAGAAGCGTCAGTTAGTTCAGAACACAGCGGTCTGGTTCTGACTCACCAGATAAACTGGCAGCACATTCCACTGGTTCTGGAGCAACTTCATTGGCTGCCTGTCTAGTTCCGAGCTTCATTTCAGTTGCTGGTTTTAACCCTTAAAGCCCCAAATAGCCTGGGACCCACATGCTTGAAGGACTGTCTCTCCCTGCCCCTCCCTCCTTCCTATCCCTCCCTGTAGGAAGGTGAGGCCTGTGGAAAACCATTCCAAGGCTTTCTCAGTGATCGTCCTGGAGCCAGGGAACAGGGTGCCGCAGGAGGTCTGGCACACACCTTCCTTTTCTGCCTTTCCGCAGGCTTTGTTTAAAAGAGTTTTTAATTTAAATGGATTCATTGCTGCATTGTTTGATATTTTATGGCTGCTGCCCTTTATTCTGCTAAGATTTTAAAACTGGTTGTATTTATTATTCTAAACTGTGTTAGCTTTAGTATGTGTGAAGATAGGCGGGGTGTTAGCCTTTTAATAAACAGACAGATATGAGGATGCTCTGAAGCTGATGGGCAATGGATTCAGGACGGACAAAAGTTAAAACTGCTTTACACAGAGAGTGATTAAAATCTGGAATTCGCAGCCAGGGGATGTAGAGATGGCCACAGGAATAAACAGCTTTAAAAGGGGATTAGATAGATTCATGGAGGTTAAGTCTATCAGTGACTACTAGCAATGGTGACTGAAGGGAAATTCCACATCCAGAGACACTAGTCCTCTGAATCCCAAAGCAGAAAGCCCTATGCCCTGTTGTTGCCTGTCCAGAGGAACTGGTTGGCCACTGTGTGAGACAGGATGCTGGACTAGATAAACCACTAGTCTGATCCAGCAGAGCCAGTTTGGTGTAGTGGTTAAGTGTGCAAACTCTAATCTGGGAGAACCGGGTTTGATTCCCCACTCCTCCACCTGCACCTGCTGGATGACCTTGGGCAAGCCCTAGTTCTGATAAGAGCTGTTCTTGAAAAAGAGCAGTTTCTGTCAGAGCTCTCTCAGCCCCACCAACCTCACAGGGTGCCTGTTGTGGGGAGGGGAAGGGAAAGGAGTTTGTAAGCCGCTCTGAGACTCCTTTGGATAGTGAAGGGTGGGGTATAAATCCAATCTCCTCTTCCTCCTCCTTTTCTTAAACTAGACAGCCAATCAAATTTGGCTCAACAATGACAACATTGAAAATAAATGAAACATATTCTGAAAAAAAAGTCAGTGCTTTTTGCACAAAGTGCATAACTGCCCTGCAACTGCCTAAATAAAGGTGGAGGGGGGCAGGTGACATTTTCATCCCTGACAACAATGTTTATGAACCCCCCCCCCCCCCCACAACACCCTTGAAAAC